TATCAAATGTTTAGATAAAGAAAATTGGTATAAAATTTGGGAAGGAGGAGTAGGGAAGAAGTAAATTTTTTCAGATACAGTGGCCCCCCGGTTTTTAACGTTTTTTTTTCACTCCAGAAGTATATTCAGGTCCCAGTATGCCCAAATTTGTCCCATAAAAATTTGTGAAGAGATTAGTCCATTTCAGACCCCCAAACATACAGAAAAAAACACATTACATAAATACACTTAAAAATTGGTCGCATTGGGAGGTAATCGTTATGGGGGGTCCACTGTACTTGGGAGTTGACGTGTCGGAGTGGATTTATGAAGGATGGGTTAATCATAGAATTGATGAGGAAAAAAAAGGTGAGGGGTGCGTTGAGGGTATATGTGGAGTCAAAAAACTTTTATTTTGGAGGCAAAGAAGGAATGTATGAAAGATAGTGTACCAACACTCTTTTTGGGGTGTGAAGCTTGGGTGGTAAAGCAGCAATGGGGAGACGGTTGGAGGAGGGGAGAGTCCGTCTAAGGGCAATGTGGTGTAAATATTATGCAGAAAAGGGGAGTGGGGAAATTGGGAAAAAGGGTGTGGGTTAATAAAAGTATTAGTCAGAGGGCGAAGGGGGTTTTTTTAGGTGGTTTGGTCATTTAGAGAGAAGGGACCCAAGTAAATGACATGGAAACATATAAACATGGGGGGAAGGAAGGCGTTTGGGGGTCGTCCTCGAAAGGGTTGGAGAGGGGGGTAAGGGGTTTTGGGGGCAAGGGCTTGGACTTCAAAGCGTGCGTGGCGGTTAATGGAGTAAATGGAGAAAGGGATTTGGGACCCGACGATCTTTTGGAGTGGAGTAGGGGTAATATTTAGTGAAGGGATTCGGGAAACCGGTTTTTTTTTCATATGTCGGACTTGAGTCCTAAAATGGGAAGTAAAATCCCCTGCATTTAAAAGGGAGGGGTTTGGGATTTGGGGCGTTTGGAGGGTATGTTGTGTATCTTTATAGTATATGCTTCAAAACTTTTGTTTTGAGACAGGAAGGCCCCACTTATAGGGCGGGTTAGGTTCCCAGGCTACCGCGTTAAAAGGGGAAAAATCCCCGAAAGTGGACCCCCTTTTTTTTCCAAATTAAAAAATGCATACAAACAAGATAACAATTTACACTAACAATATTAAGTTAGCAATAGAACCCAGGCATCAAAAAAAAAAATAAAAAGGACAATACCACATATGCACTCATTTTCCCTTTAAAAAAATTTTTTATAGTCTTAATCTGGGTGGGAAAAAGTAGTATTTATTGTAAGAAACAAGTGGGGGTATGTATTGTAATAGCCAGCTACCCTTTCAGGCCACCCCACCCACACATGTATTCTATGATATTAAGCATCCCAGAGCGATAAAATGGGATTTTACAGTTCACCATTACTTACCTTAAATAAATTTTTTAGTCTTAATGTAGGGCAGGAGTAAGTAAATGAGATATAAACAGAAATAAATGAGAGAGAGAAATGAATGAGTACATGAGAGGTAACAGGCGCAGAGTTATGTAAAAACCAGTGCTCCACATCTAATATTTATGTTTTTTATTCTATTGTGTGAGGGGGCTATTTATAGTCTTATTATGTTATGTATCGTTGTTTATTATATAATTTTGAAAAAAATATCATGGTGGATTAATGAAATGTGATTAATTACCGAATATTACGACATTAATGAGGACTCCGTGACTATGTTATTATCACCACTTGTGGAAATCTGTCTTTGCTTCCACAGATCACATTATAGTATATTTATTTTACTGTGAGTGTAATTTATCATATTAATTTATATGTTTGCATCGTTGTTTATTAATAATTTGAAAAAAAATTCATGTGGATTAAGAAAATGGTATATTACCGTAATATACGACATTTAATGAATCATTATGAGTATTATCCCACTTGTGGAAGCTCGTCTGCCTTACACATCACATTATATTGTCATTATATGTTACTACTGTTTAGTTGAGGGGTGATATTTATCTTAATTTATATGTTATGCATCGTGTGTATTATATAATTTTGAAAAAAACTTATCATGGATGGTAATGAAAAATGTGTATATATAACGTAAATATACGAACTTTAAATGACTTTGATGTATGTAAGTTTAAAATTAGGTACAAGGTATAACATAAGTATAATTATCAGAGTATATTTAAAAACTATGAAATAACTTTTAAAAAATTGAAATTTTGAAAATTTGGAGGGTAAAATTTTGGGGGAAGGACTTGTGCTTACCTGAGCTGATGGAGAATGAGACGAAGGACTGGGTGACACGTGACCGTATTAAAAGTGAAGGTTCAGGGAAACCGTTTTATTAGTTTGGTCCCTAATGGTGACAATGCTCCGTATTAGGGAATGGCGTTTAAAGGTGAAACGTAAAGCGTGTATTCTGAGTACATCTGCAAAAACAGTGATTATGTGTGAGTGCGGTGAAAGTGTTGAATGATGATGAAAGCATTTTCTTTTTGGGGATTTTCTTTCTTTTTTGGGTCACCCTGCCTTGGTGGGAGACGACCGACTTGTTGAAAAAAAAAAAAAAAAATCATAGTACAAGAAGTCTTCAACTTGCGAACACTTTGGGGAGCTTCTGTATTGTGTATAGTAATGATGTAATGATATTATACACAATGATGATATAATAATGACATTATACACAATACAGAAGTTTCTCAACATGTTTGTAAGTTGAGGACATACTGTATCAAGATCCCAAGGTGTTGCTGTGTCTAACTGCAATGTAATTTATCTTCATAACATTTGGTAAATTGGGCATAGGAAATTTATAAATTCTGCACCTTTTAGGTACGTCCAGAACCAGATCGTCAGCGTGTTGACAGCATCAGCCCTCACACGGATGTTTGAGAAGCGACGGAATTACGACTTCCGCCACTTATTAGGAGGAACGGAACGCTTGCTAGACAACTTACTGAATATGTTGGACTCACACCCTTCTTTCCTCCTGGGGGCTATACAGTGTCTACCCCTGGCTACCTCTGTCCGAGACACTATCACACAGACCATCATCCAGTATTGCTCCAAAATTAAGGTAAATATAGTGCTAAGATGCAATAAGATCACAGTAAACAGGTGATATTACTATATGCAGAACTACTGTGAAAAATACACATATAACCCGCACATAGGAGAGAGGAGCTTAAGATGACATTTCGATCTGACTTGGACCATTTACAAAGTCACACTGTGACTGTAAATGCTCCAAGTCAGACCGAAACATCATCGTAAGCTCCTCTCTCCTATGTGCGGGTTGTTTATGTATTGTTCCAGTCACGATATTGTGCCTTTTTGTTATCCACTGTGAAAAACAGTGAAATTCCAAGCATCGCAACGTGACCCTGTTGTAAGTTGAGGACCACCTGTGTATATCTCGTGGTAACTACTAAATATAATATAGCGCTGCAGTTTTTGAACTGTAGTGTAGGTGTGCCTCTGGCAAGACAGTGATGGAGTGATTGATGATGAAAGTGTTTCTTCTTTTTGTGTGTTGGCAGAACCTGGTCTTCGGCCTGATCATCTGTCAAAATCAGCTGATCTCTCTCGTGCGCATGAAGAAATTCCTCCTGCATCCAGCGGATCTTCACTTGTTGTTTAATCTGGTTAACGCTACTGAGTCCTTAAAGACAAGCGAAAACTGGATGCCAATATGCTTGCCAAAGTTCGACCCAAAGTGAGTGCTTGATGTTGTGCTCTGGCGATTTGTAGTTGTTATGACCCGGCAGGTTCTTGCTGGTTGTGGTTATGACCCAGAAGGTTCTAGCTGGCTGTAGTTGTTATGGCCAAGCAGGTTCTAGCTGGCTGTAGTTGTTATGACCCAGCAGGTTCTAGCTGACTGCAGTTGTTATGACCCAGCAGGTTCTAGCTGGCTGTAGTTGTTATGACCCAGCAGGTTCTAGCTGCCTGTAATCATGACCTGAGATATTACTAGCAATTGCCAAGTGAATTAGGGTCAGTTCTTTTATAAAGCTCCTCTATATACTGTCAGAAAGATATTGCAGGTTTTTAGTCATATAGAATAGAAAGTGTTATAATAGCTAAAAAGGGTTTTTAATATTTTTTTTTTTTTTTTTTCAACAAGTCGGCCGTTTCCCACCGAGGCAGGGTGACCCAAATAAAAGAAAGAAAATCCCCAAAAAGAAAATACTTTCATCATCATTCAACACTTTCACCACACTCGCACATTATCAATGTTTTTGCAGAGGTGCTCAGAATACACAAGTCCAGAAGCATACACATATAAAGACACACAACATATCCCTCCAAACTGCCAATATTGGCAGTTTTTAATAATGTCTTATAATAATTGATATAGAATAAAAAGTGTTATTGCGATTTCAATGCCTCTGGCAAGACAGTGATGGTGTGAATGATGAAAGTTTTTCTTTTTCTGGTCGCCCTGCCCTGGTGGGAAACGGCCGATGCGTTAATAATAAATACTATTTCAATTTCAGTGCCTTCTAATAATTGATTATAATTTTCAGTGGTTACCTGTACGGTCATGTTTCTTACCTGGCTGATGACTGTGAGGCTTGTCTCCTGTTGCTGTCTGTGGACCGAGAACAGTTCTTCACCTTGTCCGAAGCTAAACAGAAGATTGTCAGTGTGAGTCCAACTGATTTTCAATGTTTTATGAAGTGTGTGACTTTGTACAGTAAGTCTTGACTTACCAGTGCATTGCACACCTCCTGTATTGTGTATAATATTCATAATACAGGAAATTTTCAATTTACAAACACATTGGGGCCTTCTGTATTGTGTATAATAATGATATAATACAGTGGACCGCCGGTTCGCGATACTAATCCATTCCTGAGAGCTCATCGTAAACCAAAAATATCGGAAAGCGAATCAATTTTCCCCATAAGAAATAATGGACATCAAATTAATCCGTGCAAGACACCCAAAAGTATGAAAAAAAAAACTTTTACCACATGAAATATTAAGTTTAATGCAATAGAATAGTAATTACAATAACAATAGATAACAATAAATAACGAAAGAATAATTGACACTTACCTTTAATGAAGATCTGGTGATGATTGATGGGATGGGAGGAGGGGAGAGTGTGGATTGTGTTAGCATTTAGAAGGGGAATCCCCCTCCATTAGGACTTGAGGTAGCAAGTCCTTTTCCCGGGTTACTTCCCTTCTTCTTTTAATGCCACTAGGACCAGCTTGAGAGTCACTGGACTTCTGTCGCACAACATAACTGGCAGCCTCACCATGCCTAATCACACTATGTATGCCACTACAATTCTTAAATCTTTCAAACCAACCTTTGCTGCCTTAATTCACTCACATCACCACTAGTTGCAGGCAATTTTTTTACCAAATCGTCATGCAACTGCCTAGCCTTTTCACAAATGATTGCTTGAGAGATGCTATCTCCTGCTATCTGTTTTTCATTTATCCACACCAATAACAGTCAACATTTTCTAACACTTGCGGTCGCTGTTTCATAATCACAGTTGCACCTTTTGCAAGAACAGCTTCCTTGATTGCCATTTTCTTGCTCACTATAGTAGAGATGGTTGATTGGGGTTTACTATACAACCTGACCAGCTCCGACACACGCACTCCACTTTCGTACTTTGCAATTATCTTCCTTCATTTCAACAGTCATTAGCACCCTTGGTCTCGAAGGGTTGGCACTGGGAGCTTTCTTGGGGCCCATGGTGACTTATTTTGCAAAAACAGGCACCAAAAACAGTGATAATATGGATAATATGGAATGTACCGAATGTATCCTTAGATGCGCGCACACTGGCTGGCTTGTAAACACTGGCACACACGGGGCAGTTCAGGCCACACATGGACACGGCTCGTACGAACCACATCGCATACTGGGTTTTGCATCGGGAAGCGAGGCAAATTTTCTGCGATATAATGCATCGGTTACCGGATTTATCGGATACTGATTGCATCGCGAACTGGGGGTCCACTGTAATGATATTATACACAGTAATGTTATAATAATGATATGAAATGGGAAGTACAATGCCTGCACTCTAAAGGAGGGGTTTTGGGATATTAACAGTTTGGAGGGATATGTTGTGTATCTTTATACATATATGCTTCTAAACTGTTGTGTTCTGAGCACCTCTGCAAAAACAGTGATTATGTGTGAGTGAGGTGAAAGTGTTGAATGATGAAAGTATTTTCTTTTTAGGGATTTTCTTTCTTTTTGGGTCACCCTGCCTCGGTGGGAGACGGCCGACTTGTTGAAAAAAAAAAATACACAATATAGAAGATTCTCAACATGTTTGTAAGTTGAAGACTTATTGTAAATAGTCCAAGTCGGATCAAAGCGTCATCATAAGCTCCTCTCTTCTATATGGGTTATTTGTAAATGTTATATAGATTAGAGGTGGGAGATGGCATTTCAGGCACTGCGACAAAGTCCAAATGAAAAACACAATGCTGTTTATTTTACCAAAAACTTTTCAAATTATTATAGTTAAAACCATAATTTTTGAAGGGGTAGAGTGGTAAGCCAGCGGAAAGGCCTCGGTCAGATGACCAAAAGCTCCAGCTGTGGGTCATCATATGACTAAGACCCGCGTCAGGAATATTGTCCTGTTTCCTGATCGACCTAACCTAACTTAACCACCTCTAATTACTCAGTTTATATTTGTATTTTATGCACTGAATTAAAAGGAAGTAGAATGCATGCATTCTGAAGGAGGGTGTTGGTGTTGCAGTTTTAACTGTAGTATCAGCACCTCTGGCAAGACAGTGATGGAGTGAGTGATGATGAACATATTTCTTCTTTTTCTGGTCATCTTGCCTTGGCAGGATACAGCCGATGTGTTGAAATAAAAAATATGGATTAGACAATTTTTAAGGCTTTTTTTTTTTCTTGGATTTTTCATTTTGGTCAAAATGGTACACAGAGGTAATATTAATTCCATTTGAACAAATCATTCTTTGTGAATAAATGGCTTAAAAATGACAGGTTGCACAAGTGTATTATTTATCAAGTCAGACTTTGTGTAAGTGTTAGCCTAAATTTTCCCTGGTTGGGAAGTACAGTAGAACCCCCATATCCATGGATTTGGTTTACTGTGGCTCAAAAATCTCCCTTAATTTTACGTAATAATGACACTAAAGCACAAGTGATGGTGACAGTTGTTCATATTCTAAGAGAAGTTGTCAAGTTCTTTCCATCAGTGAAAAAGTGATAATTCTCCACTTATTGTATGTGATTTATGAATTAAACTTTTTGGTATCTATAGATGTTCTTGGAACATCACCAGCAGATACCAGGACACTACTGTATATTAAAATTATTTTCACCTGTTATTTAATTATTGAGCAGTTTACTGTAAACTCGTATGTTTTATGGCAAATTTTTTTAAACTTTTTGTAGAGATTGCGGAGACATCATTGCCTTGAAGGGATAAACACAGCAATACGCACATCGTCTTACACGGTCAAAGCCGTTGGGGCGCCCGAACTTCGCATTTCCTCTACAAGTCGAAGACAACTGCGCAGTTTACCTGTCCCGAATACACCTCTCCGTAAGTCTCCAGGATTCTCTGCTTCTAGGATTTTACAGTATTCTTCAGATTGTAGCATTGTTAGACCTGATTGTGCCTCAAGAAAATGTAATCAGAATCAAAATTATATCTTTTCATATAGTATACGATGTGTAGTTTACATGTTACCAAATATTGTTAAGCACAAATAAAGCCAGTAGCATGCATGAATATTTCAGGCAGACTAGGCCTAAGGCTTATACACTACTTAAAACCAGACATAGATTATGGAGTGGTAAATTTTAATTGTGTATTATTACAAAAAAAAAAAAAAGTATCAAAAAGTCATATTTAGAAAAATTTATAGAGGTAGCCAAAAAAAATATTACAATTAGTACAGTTTTCAATAGTACAATAGTTAAGTAACATTGATCACTGTCTGAAGCATTGTGCTAACTTATTTATGCCTAGTAATTGTGGTAACTTATTTAGGCATATTGTGGTAACTTACCTGACGAGGGTTTCGGGGGTCAGCGCCCCCGCAGCTTGGTCTGAGACCAGGTCTTTTGTCGTAACTTATTTAGGCCTAATAATTGTAGTAACTTATTTTGGCCTATTGTGGTAACATTTAGGCCTAGTAATTGTAGTAACTTAGGCCTGGAAATTGCAACTTATTTATGCCTGGAAATTGTGATAAATTTGGAAGTCTGCTAAGCACAACTTTGACCCTTGTGGGTTTAGTACATGGTTATGATTATAATAATAAGCACAACTTCCCCAGACAACAGCAGCAACGCTGCTATAATTATTATTTAATGTTTCTGTGTTACCATTGGTTGCTAAAAACAGCATCACTAATAATGTCTACCTGGTAAGATGAATTATGTATAAGTAATTGCAATAGTTGGTAAAGATGAATACATGTATTAGTGTCAGTAATAGTGTTTAGATGGTCAAGACGAATGTGTATGACCCTTGTGGGTTTAGCACTCAGTTTTGATTGTAATAAAGTAATATAGTGTCTTTTGTGGTCTGCCAGGTACCAGACAGTTGAAGGTCAGCGACACTTGTTCGGTATGTACCAACTGCTGCACCATCGTGTACACTCTGTCTCACGACCTCTCAAGATGGTCTACATGGTTATGGATACACAGACTCTGTTGGGATGGGTGAGTACATTGTATCAGAAAATTTTCTTTTTTTAGTGCAGGCGTTTCCCACATAGGCGGGGTGACTTGAAAAAGAAGAAACTCACCATCATTCACTCCATTGCTGCCTTGCCAGAGGTGTGCCAATACTACATTTCAAAAACTGCAAAATATCTCTACATATCCACAGATAAAGAAATTTGACAGGATTGCTTGATTGTGTGAATGATTTAAGACTATTTTTTTTTTTTTTTTTTTTAGGTATTATGAATGAGTGATAGTGTGAATGATGGTGAAAAATGTTTCTTATTTTTCGAGTTACCCTGCCTTGGTGGGAGACAATCAGCATGTTGGAAAAGAAAAAAATATTTTTGGAAGCAAAGTTAGAAGGTCAGAAGACCTGTCATGGGAAAAGATAAAGGGAATTAAGTCTTGTTTCAGAGAGAGAGAGAGAGAGAGAGAGAGATGAAGGTGGCAATGCAGTCGAGCCCCACTTACGGCATTTCACTTTACGGCATTTCACAGATTAAAATAAAGGTTGGATGCGAAAAGTGGGTCATAATAAGCATGTATGCACCTGGAGAAGAGAGGAATGTAGAGGAGAGAGAGAGATTTTGGGAGATGTTAAGTGAATGTATAGGAGCCTTTGTATCATGTGGGGTTCGAACACGTGGATAGGGTAAAGTAATACTCACGTAGGCTGGAAGTACGTATAATTACGGATAATGTGGGGAGCGCCCTAACAGCCGTAACCTTGTCTCCTTGCTCACTCTCGTAACACTGACTGGCCGCCCACAGTACCCATATGTGAGGGGGTCTTTGAATACTGCTGTGGTCAGCACAATATGAATACAGACAGTGACTCAGGCAGAGACGGTTGGTAGTGAGTCATCTACTGGTACACTGGTTACTGGTAACTGGTTACTACTACTGAGAGTTCGGCGACGCTAACGTATGTCGTCCCGACATACAACTAATACAAACTAGAGATGGCAGGTATACGGCTTGGGCTGATTCTATACAATGTCAAAGTACACAACAATTGAACATTATAACATACATAAGTAGAACATTGGAATGGAAGCTTACGTAACTGAAACTGTAATGCAATACAAGGTATAATATAGCACAACTCATCGAATGAAACTCATCAAATGAAACTCAATGTTGAGATTACACAATAGAAGTGATAAAAAAAAAATTGGATCGATTGATCTGTATTCATGTGATCTACGGATTCTGAGGAAGGAATATATACAAAGAAAGAGTGTTTAACAGAAAGGCAGATTCGGTGCACTCAAATCTAGACTGTTAACTCTCAGAATTCGGAGAGAACGTGAACACAAAAAAAAAAATTCTTGAATACTGATAAGTTGATACTGTAATTATTCATCTATACAGTTATTTACATTTAAACCCCAACTTGCTAGGGTAAGATTGACATATGCAGAATGAGTGTCATCTCTGGGAGGATCAAACTCTGTTACATTGGCTAACTCATGCTGTATTTGAGGCAAATCTGAATTGGAAGTTACAAAATGATACTTGAGGATTTCTCAATACCTGTCGTGTACGTAGGGAATAACGACTTTCCCAGGTTGATCGTCTGACTGAGTATCAGAGGAAGAGAGTACAGGATCAGGAGGATTGTTAGAGTCTGTCACATTAGTCTGGGTTGGAACATCATTATCATCACATACTAACTTCATATGATCAAAATTTGCGATTCTTTATACTGACCAGAAACTAATCTCTCTAACCTTATTACTTATTACCAGTGATATTTTCCCAACTACTCGATAAGACCAACAAACTTTTGATCAAGCTTTGGCATTGCAGACGTTTGTTAAAAGTTAGTCAGCTAACTCTCGAACCTGCTTTGATTTTGGATGGCTTTGCTCGAGTGTTTGCGACTCTTGTAAATTCTGCTGTTGATTTATGAAGTGTTTCACGGATTCTTCAAAAAAACACTTTGAGCTAAGTGTACGAGTTGCTATGAAATCATCAGGGTTGTAATTTGGTTTCGGATTAGAATATAGCAACTCATAAGGCAAAACGTTTATCTACACCATACAATGCATAATGTGGAGTGTCACCTATAGAAACTTGTAAGCAGAATTTATAGCACACTGCACATCAGGTATAACTTCATCCCAAGTTTCACTGTTGGGATTGATAGTGGCTCTCAAGACATCAAGTACTTTCTTATTGGTTCGTTCCGCTAACCCATTGCTGGCAGGATGATGAGGAAAAATGGTGGATTTAGAGATCTTGTACAGGTACAAAAATTTTCAAGAATCTCATTACAGAATTCACCCTCCATTATCTGTTACTAGGACTTAGGGGTGGTATGCCTGCAGATAATGCTTTCTTTAAACGCTTTAGCTACTGTCCTCGGCAGTCCTTATCTGCAATAGGAACTAACTCACAATATCTGGTGAAATGGTCACCATAACACACAGATGTTTGTTGCCTTGGAGGGAACATTGGAAATTAGTTAACAAATCTAGCGCAACTCTTCCACGGGTTTGCTAGTAGTTGGATATTTCTTGGATTGGATTAGGACCATTAGCATTACCTTTATGTTGCATGCAGACACTACATTTCTTAACATACTCAGAAATATCAGTTGCCATACGAGGCCAAAAAGTATTTCAATCTGGCTTGTTTTACTGAACGATCCATACCAGGGTGTGCAACACCTGGTACAATCGTGAACTAGCTGTAAGGCTACATTCACTAGTGACTGTGGAATTACTAACTGGTAAAACTCTTCTGCTAGGAGTACCCCACCCCGGCTGTTCGATACAGTAATTCTTGGTTCATGACAAAGTCACTGATGGGTGCTGGTGGCTTCACAGTCAGAATAAGATCTTCCTGGAGCAGGAATCGAATCACACCAGACCACATGGGATCTGTTCGTTGAGCATTCTTTACTTCTTCAGCACTAAATGGAGGGTCTGCAGTTACTATACTAACATGTCGTGATAAGGCATCTGCGACTACATTTGACTTGCCAGGTAAAAGCTCAAAGGTGGGATTGAACTCTTGGATAGTCAAGGTCCATCTGGCTAACCTTCCAGTAGGTTGTTTGTTCTGGAATAAAGGTATCAGTTCTTTCTTACTGGAGGAATGAACAAACTCGGTGGAGTGGATGACTCCCCCCGATTGTGGTAGGGGACCTGAATGCTAAAGTAGGAGAAACTTTTAGAGAGGGTGTGGTAGGTAAGTTTGGGGTGCCAGGTGTAAATGATAATGGGAGCCCTTTGGTTGAACTTTGTATAGAAAGGGGTTTAGTTATAGGTAATAAATATTTTAAGAAAAAGAGGATAAATAAAATATACAAGATATGATGTAGGGCGAAAAAGAAGTAGTTTGTTGGATTATGTATTGGTAGATAAAAGACTGTTGAGTAGACTTCAGGATGTACATGTTTATAGAGGGCCACAGATATATCAGATCACTTTCTAGTTGTAGCTACACTGAGAGTAAAAGGTAGATGGGATACAAGGAGAATAGAAGCATCAGGGGAAAAGAGAGGTGAAGGTTTATAAACTAAAAGAGGAGGAGTTAGGGTAAGATATAAAACAGCTATTGGAGGATAGATGGGCTAATGAGAGCATAGGCAAAGGGGTCGAAGAGGTATTGGGAGGTTTAAAAAAGTAGTGTTAGAGTGTTCAGCAGAAGTTTGTGGTTACAGGAAAGTGGGTTGCGGGAGGGAAGAGGAGCGATTGGTGGAATGATGAAAGTAAAGAGAGTAGTAAGGGAAAAAAGTTAGCATATGAGAAGTTTTACAAAGTACAAGTGATGCCCAAAGGGGGGAAGAGTATATGGAGAAAAAGAGAGAGGTTAAGAGAGTGGTGAAGCAATGTAAAAAGAGAGCAAATGAGAGAGTGGGTGAAAATGTTATCAACAAATTTTGTTGAAAATAGAAAAAGTTTGGAGTGAGATTAACAAGTTAAAAAAAGCCTAGAGAACAAATGGATTTGTCAGTTAAAAATAGGAGAGGAGAGTTATTAAATGGGAGTTAGAGGTATTGGGAAGATGGAGGGAATATTTTGAGGAATTGTTAAAAATGTTGATGAAGATGGGAAGCTGTGATTTCGTGTAAGGCAAGGAGGAAAAACATCTTGTAGGAGTGAGGAAGAGCCAGTTGTGAGTGGGGGGGAAGTTCGTGAGGCAGTAGGAAAAATGAAAGGGGTAAGGAAGCTGGGATTGATGGGATAAAGATAGAAATTTAAAAGCAGGTGGGGATATAGTTTTGAGTGGTTGGTGCAATTATTTAATAAATGTATGGAAGAGGGTAAGGTACCTAGGGATTGGCAGAGAGCATGCATAGTTCCTTTGTATAAAGGCAAAGGGACAAAAGAGAGTGCAAAAATTATAGGGGGATAAGTCTGTTGAGTATACCTGGTAAAGTATATGGTAGAGTTATTATTGAAAAATTAAAAGAGTAAGTTTGGAAAATGGATAAGATGAACAAGGAGGCTTTAGGAAAAGGTAGGGGGGGTGTGGACCAGGCGTTTACAGTGAAACATATAAGTGAACAGTATTTAGATAAGGCTAAAGGTCTTTGTGGCATTTATGGATTTGGAAAAGGCATATGACAGGGTGGATAGGGGGCAATGTGGCAGATGTTGCAGGTGTATGGTGTAGGAGGTAGGTTACTGAAAGCAATGAAGAGTTTTTACGAGGATAGTGAGTCTCAAATTAGAGTATGTAGGAAAGAGGGAAATTATTTTCCCAGTAAAAAATAGGCCTTAGACAAGGATGTGTGATGTCACCGTGGTTGTTTAATATATTTATAGATTGGGTTGTAAGAGAAGTAAATGTGAGGGTCTTGGCAAGAGGCGTGGGGTTAAAAGATAAAGAATCACACATAAAGTGGGAGTTGTCACAGTTGCTCTTTTCTGATGACACTGTGCTCTTGGAGATTCTGAAGAGAAGTGCAGAGATTGGTGGATGAAATTTTGGTAGGGTTTTGCAAAGAAGAAATTAAAAGTGAATACAGGAAAGAGTAAGGTT